TCATTCCTGAGAAAATGAAACAGAAATGAATGAACTGACCATGTGACTCTTGTTTACTGTTATTCATGCCTTAACAGTTTTGTCTTAATTTGCTATAGCCGTGTTTAACTCCTATTTGCACATATCATCATTATGAGACCACAAGAAGCATTTTGATCAAAATTAAGGAGAGTATTTCTGTGTGGCATGCTTTGATGTCAAGCAAACAGAATTTTATACTGGGCTTGGTTCCTGTCACTAACACTGTTCAATTAGAAATGTGCTACGTACTCCTAAAATAGGAATTGCGTTGTTGAGGAGCAATAACAAGTAGTATGAGATGGGAAATCTGTATTATTGTAAGTATGTACCTTACCAAGGAATAATACTTGGGAATTGGTAATTCTTCCATGAACATAGTTTCACATTCCTGTGATGTGCTTGTGTACATTTGGTAAAATCACAGTATTAAAAATATTTGTTTTTGCTGGTAGTTGAGTATTTGTTCTGAGACAACACTTGTTACATATTCAACAAAATCTTAGTTGAGGCCTTATACATCATTCCAAGTGTTATAAGTACAGAAAGTGGATGCCTAGTATGTACAATAATAACTCAGAGTAGGCATGCTAATTTCAGATGTTCAAAACTGGACAGACTCCCGTTCATTCATTTGGCTTCACACTGCAATTTCTCTGTCCACACAACAAACCTAAGCACCTCTGGTAAGGATGTGTGGAAAACAGTTTTCTCTTCAAGATTCTAGAGATTTGGCTCTTTAAGCTTTCACTATAAAATATACCACTTTAAAGACACGTCTGCCATTAAAGTGCTGTTCCAGAACCTACCCTTGGTAAGAGAATATGCATGACAACATGAAGGAGTCCAAAGTAGGTGTAAAATGTAGAAAATTTGAATCTAGATTTTACTGTCAGTGACACAAGAAATTTATATGAAGCCAACGAGGAAAAAATGCAAAATATGCAAATTCACCAACCACTACTACTTCTATTGTTCAACAAAGTCAATTAAATACTGAAGCCTGTACCCAGCTGTTAAGTTGTACTACACATTTCTAGTGCTAAAATACTGACAGCATATTTATGCTAGCAGATGTGGTGTTGCTCAAACTTATGAAACCAGTTTAGAAAAAGCCTATGTTAGATATTACTGACCTTTCTGGAAAATTTCCTCATGTCATTATAATGGATTGAGAACTATGAATATGTAAGACATTAAAAAGTAGATGATCTCTAATTGTGAAAAGTCAATTAATTCCCTGTGACATATAAATGTTCTTCCAATTTTATACATTAGAACTATAGTATACTAATGTTTGTTTCTTTAACTAGAAGGCCATTTGATTTTGATTATATGACGTGTCATGAGAATTGGGTTTTATACTGTACCATATGGGTCTAATGCAAGTTACTGATTAAGATATAATTGATGCAGACTGGATTAAACAATGTTGTTTAGTAAAGAACATTAATACAAACGGGTTTGGTGTTGGGTCCTGTGAAATGTGTTATGCACACAGGAGAAGATGTAGGCTGGCCTCCTCTTTGTGAGAGGTGCAAAGATGGGCCTAGTCACATGCAGCTGACTGTGAAGGAACAGGCGAGAGCAGGAGGCAGGATGGACAGCTAGCTGCTTGCGAAGAGCTTGGCGGGTTTGTAGACAGTGAAGGCTGCTTCACAGCTCTCTGTTTTTAGAGTTGCTAAAGATGCTAGAAACCATCTGATTCACTTTACAGCGGGTGAAGGAATCGCTATTTTGTTTTTTATCGTGCTGAAGATCAAACCCAGATCCTTGGGAATGCTTGGCAAGTGCTCTACCACTGTGTTCCATCCCAGCCCCTGGGTGAAATATGTGAAGTTCAGGAAAAGGTGGAATAAATTAATTAACTTTACACAACATGTCATATTTTTAGATGTTTCATAGTAGGAAACCAGGCCTCTTTCCATTATACCAGAGTCACAGGACAGCAGGGCATTAATGATGACTTGAAGAAGTAAATTGGTTAAGTCAAAACAGTGCATCATATTTGAATTTGCTAATAGCTACTAAGAGCCAGTCAAGAGAACAGAATGGAAACTAGGGAAGTTTGAAAGAATGTTTCATTTCATGAAAATCTGGGCAGTGAGTTAGGGAGCCAGAGGGGAGGGAGGAAAAGGTAGTGAAGAGACGAGGGCTCCCTGATTCCGTGCTGAATGACTGCCCCTGGTCTCAGATTATCATCGTCGTAGGGGCTCAGATGAGTGTGTGACTTTGTAGGTGTGTGTGTGTGTGTGTGTGTGTGTGTGTGTGTGTGTGTGTGTTGATATGACCTTGCCAAGGTCTGCACTTCACACCACAGCTGGTGTGCAATAGCTGCTCACTGTGTATTTATTGAATGATTATTCCTGGACGTTGCCTGTGTGTGAAGGACGGAGAGACTAGGAATTTGAAGCACTGAATCATAATAACAGTTCAGTTTGACTGGAATAGAAGTTGATGAAAGCTAAGGTTTTTGAAGTGAACTGGTACACACTGTGAAAGGACAGCCATCTTGTTCAAGGCAGAAGGGGGCAATATGAGTGTAGTCAATGTTGACTTTATATATAAAAAATATGCTAGACAAGGAGGAAAATGTAATTTTCCTTTTTTAAGCAGCAATCATTATAGTTTCAATAATAATTAGATATTGAGCAATTTGCAAAATACTTATTTTGTATTCGTAACACATATACTGTACTATAAATACCATGCATATATTTATATTTTGACTAAGAAAAAAAGGATCTTCCACTGAAAATATTTCCACACAAACCATTATAGTAATAGGAATTTGTGTGCAACAAATTCACAGAAAAATTATATTTATATAGTTCATATTTTAAAAAGCAAATATTATCCTTTTAGTTTTTTTATTGTAAAAGCTGTATGCTGTTGATATCCTCATAGCCTGGAATTTTAAAAGGAAAGCACGTTTTATCCTCGAGGAACTCAATGGCTCCTTGAAGGAAGAATGAAGATAATTCAAATGTCACTTCTTTATCTTCACTGATGTGTTCAACAGTAGACTTTCAGTTTCAAGCAGGGTGTCCCAGCATCCCCACCCTTCTGATTGTGCCACCTCCAATTGTTTTGCTAGCTCCTCTTTAAGTGTCCAGTCTCCTTGATTGGCTTCAAAAGCTTGGCCCTCAACTCTCTTCAGTTCTCCTACTCACAACTTAGCCTGAATGTGAACCTCTAAGCCTTAGCTATCAAATCGGACCCTCCCTTCCTTTAAGTCTCATGTACACCTTTTGTTTTCCTGTTGGATCTTCATCTGTGTGCTTCTCTAGTACCTTAGCTTGGATATTCCCCAAACAAGACACACGGCCACATCCTCAGAAAGCTGTCTTAGTTTTCAAAATTTCAGGGGAACGCAAGTTGGTCGACTCAACATCACCATTAACTTTTCCACTCGTGTTTGTGGATTCTCGCATCATTCATCCTCCCTCTCCCTTCCCTTACCCCTCTCCCTCTCTTTTGAAATGGTGCCTCCCACTGTTTCCCAAGCTGAACCCGAAGCCTGGCTTCTAAGTGATTCTCCTACCTCACCTCCAGGTAGCTAAGACCACAGGTGTATAGCAGCAACTCTGGTCTTGGACTCCTAAAGAGAAAGTAACTGCATAATCTCCATGCTTTAATGCTTTGTTAATTGAAAAACTAATGCCGTTTTAGGTGTCAAATTGGTTTGCTAATGCTAGACGTCGGCTGAAGAACACTGTTCGTCAGCCAGATTTAAGCTGGGCCTTAAGAATAAAGTTATACAACAAGTACGTGCAGGGCAATGCCGAGCGGCTCAGCGTGAGCAGCGACGACTCCTGCTCTGAAGGTTTGTTCAGGTTTTTATTTTCCTGCCTTTGCTTTGCCATTGTAATAAGCTCACCCTAGATGCCGTCTTAATGGTTGACCCCACAAAATAGTGTAGTACCACAGATCTGTTTTTTTTTATTGCATTAGGTAACCTCACCTTTACAGTTTTATAAAGCAACAGGGATTATAGCTATTTCCTCTGTTTATAGATTTGACATGGGGGTGGGGGCAAGCATTTACATTAAAATCAAATACCCTATGGAACAATTACATAGGTTCCTGTTTCCTTTTACCTAAAAGTCTTACGTATAAAAAATAATCTTATATATGGCATATGTTCTTCCATTGTGCATATTTTTAATGACTAAATGTGACAGTTGAGCAACTAGGGAAAGTATGTGCAAGTACTAGTTGGTGACATTTTTTCCCCTCAGATGGAGAGAATCCCCCAAGAAATCACATGACTGAAGCAGGCTACAGCACCCCTGCCCATCACACTGTGATTAAAGGGGAGAGCTCGGTGATAAAAGCTGGAGTGAGATCAGAGTCAAGGGCAGCCGAGGACTATGTGTCACCTCCCAAGTACAAGAGCAGCTTGTTGAACCGTTACCTTAACGACTCTTTGAGGCATGTCATGGCCACAAGCACTGCCATGATGGGGAAAACAAGGCAAAGGAACCATTCAGGATCTTTTAGCTCCAATGAATTTGAGGAAGAGCTGGTGTCTCCATCATCATCAGAAACTGAAGGCAACTTTGTCTACCGCACAGGTAAGCCCAGGCTTTGTTGTAGTTACGGTGACCTGCGTGAGACAGACATAAACCTGTGGCAGAGGGATTTATTATAACATATAAGAAAGCCATAAGATACATTGAGTGCTGTAAATAATTCTGACACAAAGCTCTTGATTGGTTTTAAACTGGCGATGGGTGTATTTGTTAGTAGATGATGGTCTCAGCCTGAGATATTTTGCTCTCTAACAGTAAGGATAAGAGACTTCAACCTTCCTGATAATTTTTTGGGGTTTAATTATTTTTATTTTTAAATTTAAATTAGAAACAAGGTTGCTTCACATGTCAATCCCAGGTCCCTCTCCCTTTCCCTCCCCTCCTCCCACACCCTTCCACCAACCTCCCCAATACCCCCTCCTTTACCCAGGGAAGGTGAGGGCCTCTATGGGAGTGTCCATAGTCTATCATTTCATCCAGGGCAGGGCCTAGACTCTCCCCCCAAGAGTCCAGGGTGAGAGTACATCTCTATTTGTGGGATGGGCACCCGAAGTCCATTTGTCTGCCAGGGATAAATACTGATCTGCTACCCAAGGCTCTATAGATTGCCTAGGCCTCCTCACTGACACCCACGTTCAGGGGGTCTTGATCAGTCCCATGCTGGATATCCAGGCATCAGTCTGTGTTGGGGGAAGTCCTGTGTATTTGTCAATAAAGCACTGCTGGCCAGTAGGGAATCAAGATACGTGGGATTAGGAGTCCAGAAGGACTCTGGGAAGGAGAAACACAGAGAGTCAAGATGTAACGCCATGGGGTAGGAAGCCCGGAACTATTCTCCAGTAAGAGAAATACTTAGATTAACAATTATGGGGTAATTACGTAAGCCAGAGCTAGCCAGTAAGAAACAAGCAAGGCCAACAGCTTCATAATTAATATAGTCTCCTGTGTGTTTACTTGGGACTGATGTGGCTCTAGAACCAGGCTGGCGGGAAGGCTCCTCTCAAGGAAAAAGCTTCCCTTTACAAGTCTGGGATTCAAGAGCTAACCCTTGTCAGGTCAGCTGTTACTGGGAGTTACACCAGCCCAGTCTTAACCCCTTTGCTCATCAGTCCTCCCTCTCTGTTACTGAGTTCCTTGAGTTCAGCTCAGTGTTTAGCTGTGGGATTCTGCCTCTGCTTCCATCAGTCATTGGATGAAAGTTCTGTTTCCCAGACTCTCTGGCCGTGGGATTGTAGGCTGGCACTCCACAGATCTATGTCTAAAGTCCATATAGGAGAGAGTACATACCATATTTGTCTTTTTGTGACTGGGTTACCTCACTCAGGATGGTTGTCATGATGATGATGTGGTAACAGTGTTGATTTCTTCACCGTGTATCTTGTGTGAACATCAGTGTGTGGGCCTGTGTGTGCCAGATGCCCTCCTCTACTGCTCTCAGCTTTATTCCCTGGAGATTTGGTCTCTCATTGGACCAGGATCTAGGTCTGTAGCCAGCAATCTTACTGTCTCTGACACGCCAGCACTGGGGTTATAGGCACATGACCCGTCATGCTTAGCATTTTTATGTGGGTGCTGGGATCTGAATTTGGGTCCTCGTGTTTATGCAGCAAGTTTTCTTTCCCTCTGAGTCATTTTGCTTGCCTGATGATAACAATATTTAAAGGATGTATATCTCCCTTTATGAGTAATCCATACAGTGGAGGATTGCGCAAATGTTTTATGTACCATCTTTTCTTTTTACATACTTTGGTTGCTAGAAGTGATAGGAAGTAAATATAAATTAACACACGTGCCAGCATTTTCAGAAAGAGAAACACAAACCTGGATTCACTTACTTTGAAAATTCCACTTTCATTCCTGGAAAGTACAAGTGGGGCTGATAAATAGCTTTGAAATTTTTATATTCATTCCAGAAATATTCAGCTGATTTCTACCTGTCCAAAGCATTCAGATGGAGTAGCAGGTTGGCCAATATTTCTATCTTGACTTTAACTTAGAGAGATTTGCTTTTAAGGAGTATTTGAGCAGGGTTACTTTTCGAAGAAGGGATAGGTGAGATCTACATTTGGTACTAATGCAGCCTGACTCCTAGAAACACCAGTGAATGAATCTAATGTTAGATCTGGAGACAAGAAAGCACTCTGCCTAGCCAGTTACACCACAGATGAAAAAAACCAACCAAGAGCACACAATGATTGAGCACTGACTGAACAGCACAGAAGAGCCTTGCAAGAGGTTCCAAGAGGGGCGCCTCTGCCAGCACTATGGTTATATCCACTACCACCCACCACCACCTGTAGTCATCCTACCACCACCAGTCATTGCCTATAGTTACCCTACCATTAATCAATGCCTATAGTTACACTACTGCCTGTAGCTACCCTACCATTAATATGCCTGTAGTTACACTACTGCCTGTAGCTACCCCACTGTCAATCAGTACCTGCAGTTATCCTACAACCACCAGTTATTCCTATCATTCATCAATGCCTATAGTTACACTACTTGCCTGTAGCCTGTAGCTACCACCATTGAGTACCTGTAGTTATCCTACTACCATCAATCACTGCCTGTAGTTATACTTTCACCACCAATCACTGCCTACAATTATCCTTCCACCATCAGCCATTGCCTGCAGTTATCCTTCCACCACCAAGCATTGCCGTAGTTTTCTTACCACCACCAAGCATTGCCTGTAGTTTCCTTACCACCACCAAGCATTGCCTGTGTTATCTTACCACTACCAATCTTGCCTGTAGTTGTTACCACCATTAATCATTGTCTGTAGTTTTCTTACCAACACCAAGCATTGTCTGTAGTTTTCTTACCACCTAGCATTGCTTGTAGTTTTCCTTCCACCACCAATCATTTGCTCCATTGACAATAATAGTATTTTCCCCAAGAATTTGTTGAGTACCATGTGTCCAACATCATGGCAGATGTGATATCTAAATTACACTTTTAGAGAACAATGAGGCTTTTCCAGTAGGATTTAGTTTAAGTCTTTTTTGCATTATAAAACTCGGGTTTTTCAAGGAATATTGTATGACAGGGATCAAGTTAGAAAGATTACCAGAAATGACCAAAGTAATCTTCTTTTAGGACCACCAAGCATATGATTGTAGAAAGAGAAGATGGAGATCTGGAGGTTCTACCTACACATCAGTTCCTGTAATACAGATGTGGCTTGTGTATGGCAGGTTTTTCTCTGACTACTGGGTCCCTGTCTTTGAACTAATGGCATTTACTTAACTCTTACTGAGTAGTTAACCCACTACTCCCAATCATTTACTGAGTAGTGACGATACACTTGGCCCTGCTCTGGGGACCACACACCTCTACGCAAACTAATACTGTTGAGGAGCCTGACATGGCAACAGTAGAGCTTTAGGAAGGAATCCACAATAGGACACTGAGTACAGCCTTCTGACTGATTAACCTGAAATCTCCTCTAGTGTCTACAGATGTGGACAGCATTATTATCCCAAAAGTGTCAGGGCATCCTTAAAGAGCTGACTCAACATTTTTCAATTTGCATCTCTAGCTCCCACATACAGTAATCCCAGACATACAGAAATACAAAAACAGCCTTAGAAGCAGGAACTGGGTATAGGAAGGAGTTAAAATAAACACACACCCACCATCATGAATTGCTGTGAACAATTTTTGACAGTATACCGTCTATACCTGTGTATATGCAATAAACTGATATTGGCCTTGAAAATAAATGATGAATTCATGAGTAAGAAATTTTTTGGAGGGGTGGTTCGAGACAGAGTTTCTCTGTGATTTTTGGAGGCTGTCCTGGAACTAGCTCTTGTAGACTAAGCTAGTCTCGAACTCACATCGATCTGCCTGCCTCTGCCTCCCATGGGCTGAGATTAAAGGCTTGTGCCACCACCACCCCAGCAAGTAAGCAATTTTTATAAATGGCAAATAACTATGGAAAAATTCAGGTTTTTAGCCAATCTAGTGCCCCCAAATTATGAATTGATGGGTCTATTGGGTTGTTTTTGTTTTTTTCAAACTTTGAGTAAGTAAGTCTTAAGTTTTGCACATTTTCTGGAACATTTAAAATTATATCAAGTGCTTCAGTTTTTAAAAAATGTAAATGTAATCCTAATCCCGACCAGATGAAGATCATATAAAAATCTCTTCATGATATAGAGCACTGAGTGGGCTGGAAGTTTTTTACAGTTCAAGCTATTCAAACTACAGAAGCCTGGCATGCATCTATGGCAATACAAATGTGCACATACAGGTACAGCAAATGTGATTTGAAGAAAAATGCAATTAATGAGGTGAGTTAGGTAGCAACTGTCCATTTAGAAAAAAAGATTGTTTCTTATAAACACATTGAATGACATTACCCAGTGAAAGCAAGTAGATCATGTGCCTGCAAAATGCCAGTTATGTTGGGTAGTTTGGAAATGTGTGTTCTTTTCAAAAGTGACAGGACAGTTAGAAGGAACACTATGCCTGTAGCTGACGCTTTTCAGAGTGAGATACTCGGGCTGTGTGTGTTTCTCAAACCATTCCCAAAGTGCTTCATCCATAATAAGCACCGTTCCTTTCATCTGCCAGCTCTTTAGAAATAAAGCCCGTTCTTCAGTTATCCAGCCAAAGAGAAAGCAACCTAGACATGTAAACTTTTTCATGCTTGTGTGTAAACTTTAAAGGAACATTCTGATTTTTTCCCTTAATGTCTAAGCTTGGATAATCAAGAGAGAGAGGTCAAGGGCCTAAAAGTTCTGTGCCAAGTTTCAGGCCAAACAATAAATGGCTATCTTCAGTGGGGCTGAGCGGTAGCACCTTCCTAGCCAGGTTACCACACGTGGCAACAGAAGCACAGGGGACCCTGAATGCTTTCTGAGTGACCGCTGTGGCTTCCTGGCATCTGAGCCAAATCCTTCATTTCCATCTGGTTATGTCTCTTTCCTCATCAGAACGGAAATGTTTGAAATCTGATATTCACTCACACTCCTACCTCACCTTGCTGTAACAAAGATGTGAGCTCCATTTTAAAAAGAACACTGTAAGTG